AGTAAGATCTAGGACAGCCAAGGCTACACAGAGAAACACCGTCTCAAGAAACAAAGCAAGATAATACAGGGGACTCTGGAGAGAAAGTATTATTATTGTTATTTGTTAAAGGCTTTATTTATGTGGGTTTGTGCATGTCTATAATCCTAGAGCAGGCAAGAGGATTCCAAGATCAAGGCCAGTTTAGGCTACTTAGCAAGATCCTGTGTGGGGGAAACACATTTGCCAGCATGTTTGAGGCCCTGGGTTCAAATTCCTAGTATAAAAATAATGTTATCCCAAATGTTAATGATCTCAATTCTATAAGGTGTTGCTTTCAAAATCTGTGACTCCTTCCTTCTCACCAACTCACCAGCATCTAATTATAATTGTAAGATTGTCCCCTCCAGGGCTGTTTTGGCAGGAGCTATTAAAAGAAGAGTGTTAATGAGAGAATTCTAGATAACACTGAAGACGATATTCTTTGGAGGTTGGAGAGATGGCTCAGTCAGCAAAGTGCTTGCCATACAAGCATGAGGACCTGAGTTCAGATCCCCAGCACACACATAAAAAGCGTTTAGGGGCTGCAGAGATGGCTCAGGGGTTAAGAGAACTGGCTGCTCTTCCAGAGGACCCAGGTTCGATGCCCAGCACCCACCCCACGTGGCAACATGTGGTAACTCCAGTTCCAGGGGATCCACCAGCTTCTTCTGGCCTTCATGTGCATGAGGTACATGTGATACACGGACATACATGCAGACAAAACAGACACAGAAAATAAAAACCCATATATTTTTAAAGCTGGACTCAGTGGCACACGCCTCCAATCCTACCACTAAGCAGGTGTCACCCACTGGGGCTTGCTGGCCAGCTAGTCCAGCCTAATTGGTGAGCTCCAGGGTCAGTGAGAGATGCTGTCTCAACAAATGATGTGGAGAGTATCATACCCTGAACTAACCTCTGCCAGCTACGTATTCACACATACGCATAAGAGTGAACACAGAGGAGCGTGCACACACAGAGAGAATATTTTTTGTTTCATGACGTTAGAAAAGGGGCAGAAGAGAGGAGGGAGGGGACAGAACCTTGGCGTGCAGCTATTTCATTTGCAGCATGGCAACTGAAGAGAGGGGCCCTTGCAGTCCAGACCTGCATTTAACTGAGGAGCCCTTGTAGTGGTGTACACCCATGATCTCAGCACCAGGAGACGGAGGCAGGAGGATCAGGAAGTCAAGTGGGTTCCGAGCAAGCGGGAGAACCCTGGGTCACAGGGTTCTGGCCAGGAAGCTGTAAGCACACATTCCCACCACCCAGCAAGCCTTTGCCATCAGCAGATTTTCAGGGGTGGACAGAAAAACCTTGGTAGGCTGGTTATAGTCCACCTACCCTGAGAATTGACAGACTACCTTCTTTTTCTTGGAGACCCACTCAGAGGCCCACAGGATAGTACAATCAGGAACAATCAGGATTATCCAGTCTCTCACCTCATTGTAGACAGTAAATCGAGGGCTAAAGGAGAGAGGAGGGTGGTGTGGGGCCCTCAGTCGAATCGGACTAAGCTCCAACACGTCTCAAGGCCCCGTGGGCACCCAAAAACAAAGGAAGGAATCCATGGGCATTTGTCCTGACTAGCTCTTTGAGTAAGATTATCCCCAAACAGGTAGAGCTAAAACTGGAACCACAGATGTCACCCCAACAAACTAGACAGACAGCTAGGCAAGCCCCAAGCAGAGACAGGGGAAGCCAAGCAGCTGACCCACTAAAGCGAGTGGCTTGTGGGTGATTTGTTTTTGCTAAACTCGGCTTCACTGTTCCAGAGTGAAATGCTGCAGCTGCGGGCTCTTCAGTGCGTTCTGTAAGTAGAGGGCAGAACAATAGAAAAACAAACCAGACTATTCTTCTGGACAAAGGCGGATTCAGGTATTTACAACAAGCTTTCTAAATTTTTTTTTTTTTTTTTAGGCTGGCCTTGAACTCACAGTCCTCCAGTCCTTTTATTTTGTATACATTCATGTGTGTGGGCATGTACACCACAGCACACGTGTGGAGCTGGTTCTCTTCGCCTATCATGTTGGTCCCAAATATCAAACCCAGGTGGTCACATCAACCTGCTGAGCCACCTCACTGGCCGTCAACCCTCCTATCTATCTTTAGAGTGCTGGGATTACAGGTGTGCACCAGCAAGCCAGCTGGCTCTCCCGCTTTAAAGACGTGAAGTGACACACTTGATTTATTTAACATGGACTCAAGGGTCAGCACCCAGACTGAGTAACGGTGTGAAAAAAGTGTGGCTCACTCATCCAGTGGAAAAATCCCATTCCTGCTGTTGAGAGGGGTCCCCACATGGGCAGTGAGCGTTACCTTTGAGAAACGAGAAAGCCCAAGTGATGTTCATGTATTTATTCAACAAATACATTCTGGCGCCTGTCCTGGAATGGATGCCAGGGAAAATGGAACAAATTGATTTGGTACTGGTCCCCTGAAGGCAACTGTGTGGGGTTGAGGCACAGGGGTTTGAAGTGGCCAAGGACACAGTGCTTTGGCCAAACTCCTCAGAAGGCTTCCCCAGAGAAGTGAGCCCTAAAGGTGATTATGGTGTTGGAGCCTAAGGACGGCAGGCAAGAGCCTGCCAGTGGGGATGTGTAGGCAGTGATGTGGTTTCCTTGGAAGCAAAGAAAGGTACAGTTGCCAGCTTCTGAGTCCCTCATTCTCACCAGCCAAACTTCAGCTCTCCAGGCTCACAGCTGGTCACCCCAACCTTCCTGCTGTGTCCTCATTAACAGATGGAGGTCACAGGTCCAGGGGAGAGAAGACGAAGACAAAGGCCATTAATTCCCTTGATGCACACCTTTTTAACAGAGTCCCTTCTGTGTCTGACTCTAGGACAATGGTGACCCTTTCACAGGGGTCGCCTAAGACCATTGGGAAAACACAGATATTTACATTATAATCCATAATAGTAGCAAAATTACAATTATGAAGTAGCAACAAAACATTTTTATAGGGGGGATCAGCACAACATGAGAAACTTAAAGGGTTGAAGCATTAGGAAGACTGAGACCCACTGGTCTAGGACCATTGAATGAGTCAGACTCAGGTCCTACACCCAAGGTGTCAGGGGACAGCAGTACAAATCTCCAGGTGAGGCTTGAGCAGTCAGAGCTGCAGTTTCCTGCTCTGGGGTATCTTCCACACCTCATGGTCTCAACCCACCTTACCATACCAAGGCCATCTTCCTTAAGCGGGCCTCTCTCCCCCACTCTCCACCACACAGCCTGCGTCTGCCGGGAGCTGGGAAGACAGCTGTCAGCAGACAGGCCTGAAGAACACATAGTGTCTTAGTCAGGGCTGATGGCTTAAACAACAGGTGTTTGCTTTCTCCCCCTGCTGAGGACTGGAAGTTCAAGGGAGAGGTGGTGGGGTGGTTAGGTCCCCGGTGAGGCTTTGAATCCTTCTGCAGCTATGCAGTGTGATGTCGGGGGTCAAGGTGCTGTGCAGAGAAATAGAACCAGAGAGCCAGGCAAGGTGTGGTTTTGAGGAAAAGGTATTTGAGGACACTGGGACCCAAAGGAGAGAAGACGATTAGGAGGCTGGGGAGAGGGCTATTCAAGACAGCAAGAATAGGGGCAGACAGAGCCTTAGGCTTATCATGACTGCAGGAGCTGACACCAGCTAGGACTAGTAGTACAGGGCCACCTACCCCAGTCCTGAGAAAGGACCACAGAGTGAGGCAGTCTCTGGCGGCTGCTCCTTGGATCTTCCTCTCTTAGCTCAGGGATGGATGCCCAGCTGGCCTCTGGCCTTCATCAGGATCACATGCAAGCTGACCTCATCCACCTCTGGCCTCTAAATACCTGGTCAGCGCAGGAGCTAAGACAGGGAGCAACTCCCCAACCCCCTCCCCCCAGCGTACAGCGGAAGAGACTGAGGCTTCCCATTCCGCATCGTGGCTCCCAGGAGACCATCTTTCGGAGGTGGTAACTTCTTGCCGAGTTCTGTGAAGCAAGTTTTCAGGAGAACCTAGGTGGAAGGTTCAGGAAGAAAGAAGTAGATAGAGCTGGTGCGGTGGAGGCAGGAGGGAGTGCACAGGGCGGTGACAAAGCGCAAAATCTGTGCGGCGGAGAGGGGGCGGCACAGAGGCGTCACTCTACTGGAGGGAGGTCCGGTGGGGGGGACAGGGTGGGGTCGGGGAGAAGTGGGCTCAGGGTGGGGGAACATGGGCAGCAGAAAAGGTCAGGAGGCCAAGGAAGGTGTGGGAATGGCGTGGCAAGAACATCACGCGACAGGTTGCAGCGAGGCCGCGGTGGGCGTTCGAAGTTGGCAGAAGCTGGCCGCAGGGAAGTAGGCGGGGCCAGGAGAGGGGGCGGGTCCAGGGACGCCACAGCCCGAGCTGGGGATAGGGGCGGGGTTTCGTGAGTGCAAGGCGGGGCCTTGCGTGCCGGAGGCGGGGAAAGGGCGGGTTTAGGGGCGGGCCCATGTCGGGGGCGGGGCCTGGGCGGTGGCAGGCGCGCGCGGGCGGTGGCGGAGCAGAGGATCGCAGTGTTCGGCTGTGCTCCGAGGTTGGCGGCGGCGGCGGCGGCGGCGACGGCGACGCGCACA